GCATGTATGTATGTATGTATATATATATGTATATATATATATGTGTGTGTGTGTGTATGTATGTATGTATGGATATATATGTTCAAATAAATGCATGCATGTACATAGATATATCTAACTGTGAGATTTCAAGTATGTATCTTTAAAGAGAGAGAAGGGTTGGACACTCTTATTCTGATAAGACCTATCTTCTTTAAATTGTCCGTCGTTGCAGGTGCCAAGAGTCAAAGTAAACTGCAAGCACTCCGCAACCGCATGAAGAAGAGGAAATGAACTATGACTTCTGTAGCAATCAGGCCCATAAATCGGGAATTGCAAAGTGACTCAGTTAAAATTAGGTTTGAAATTGCAAAGAGGCTCAGTTAAAATTTGGTTCTTGTGGCAAAATGGAAGTGCTGCCGAGAGATACCCGAGATGGAATGGGCGTATATAATATTATACTTCAACCCTAAAACCCTAAAACCCTAAACCTCTAAACCCCTATTAGCGTGTTACCTGGAGATCTAGAATTTAGAAGCATGGGGTTTAGGTCTCGTGACAGTCCGTGTAAAAACTACGGGTGTGGTTGAGATGCAATGCAGGCAGATTGTATGTGTACCGTTGCGCATGGACAACAAGATTCATGCATTGCTGAGTCGGCCTGGAACCGCTTTCGAAGGTGAAAGGCATCTACACCAGTTGAGAAGTTCATACAGTACGGGTTAAGATGTTCTGCTATCTGCGAGCGAGTGCGTCTTAAACCGTTAGCATCATGAAGTTACATCCGATTGTGCTGTACAGTACATGGAGTCGGGCATGATGTGCGGTAACATCGCAAACAGAAGTAGCGATATCCAGGTAGTTGCAGAGGTACTCGTGTATGCATGCCAGTGCATTCATTAACCTTGTTATTGAGCCGATATAGCTATCGCGAAGATGTAAGTTGGGTTCATTTTGTTCGACGTACCACAGAGACACACTTGATAGTGACAGGTTGTGGGGTTGCCAGGCAAGTTGTAGGGTCAGAGAAGCAACCTGCTCTGATACAAGGGTGTAGTATACTAAACAAGCGTGTTGTATACTGAACAAGGGTGTAATATACTGAGTATGAAAATCAAAGGACTGCGCAGGGACGAAGGGTGCTGTAGACAGAATCAGAATAAACGAAGACAAAAACGGGCAAACGAAGTTCGATAGTATTGGTAGGCTGGGACAAGGGTGCAGTAGACAGTATGAGAATAGAAGACCACAAAAACGGACAAACTAATAGTTCCATAGTATTGGTAGCCTGGGACGAGAGTGCGCAGTAGATAGTATGAGAATAGAAGAACACAAAATGGAAAAATATAGGTTCGCTAGTAGTGGTAGGCTGGGACGAGGGTGCAGTAGACAGTACTAGACTAAAAGAACACAAAAATGGACAAACTACTAGTTCGATAGTTCGAGGGTGCAGTGGACAGTATCAGAATGAACGAACGCGAAAATGGACAAACTAAGTTCGATAGTATTGGTAGGCTGGGACGAAGGGTGAAGTAAACAGTATGAGAATAAAGGACATAAATGGACAAACAAAGTTCGACAATATTGATAGGCCTTCCCAGGCTAATGCGCCTGTGCACTTCCAGTGTCATATATACCAAGAATCAAAGTTTTGCCGAAGATACTACGCGTATATCACCAATTGTGAGATGGAGACAAATGCAACGTGGAATGTACTATTATACTGTTGGCCTCAGTAGACACAGTAGTATATTGTGGAATGCCTTTATATTATACACTAACCATATAGCTTGTACGCCAACCCGTTCAACTGCCTTGGCTTCAACGTGGAGGTCGCAACATAGACTAGCAACACAAACGTCAACTGTCAACGTGGTGCAATACTGTTTGTATTCTGTATCGATGGGCTACATATATTTATCGCTTTTGTCCCCTGAAAATATATAGCTGACTTCTCACTGATACAATATTGATTTGCACAGCTGACAATCTTGTATTAATGCGCCCAGCGAACCTCAAGATCTTTATAGCTGCCAGCACGTGTTCGACAGTGTTTTTTCAAAACGACACCTGCCCATTTGCGATTGTATACTTATTTCAACTGTCTACAAAGCAAAAACACTCTTCAACGCTTTAATCCTCGAAACTACTCCTCAACCTACAACTTAAAAACTATCTGTGCCACAAATAATCGTTCCCGTATTAGTTTGGGAATGTAGTGGAGAGTGAACGGACTAAACGCATCATGTCAAATATCAACAACAGTGGCACTTGTATTCGCACCATTTGTTTACATTCGATGGATCCGCACTGCGTATCCAGATATTAGGGGATTGTAGTTTTACATATCCAGTTGTTGGAACTTGGGTCTAAACTTTACTAGGTTTGTTCGATTCGGAGGCTGATTGCGGGTAGTACAGACAAAGGATCCAATTCATATTTAAATCTTTGTTCATCTTTAATAAAAGGAAGCATACGTCCTTGCTGATCTTCGTGTCGGTAAAATTTAAAAACATTTCATGAGATTTAAAAAATCTATACCTCTCTTGATTATTGGTATTGTTCAATTAATCTGTTTCTCGCATAAGGAATAGTAAAATCGAGGTCTTATAAGGATATTTAACATTTGACATTAGCCATCACCGTCACTAAAGCATCCTCCAGGTCTGAACGACAGTCGCAGTCATCCACATCGCAATCATGCTCCAATTCACTTTCGTCACTATAAAAATAAGCTTCCGGTAGCTTACAATGAGTTAAACAATCGGACTGATTGCCATTTTTAGAGTCGTTGCTTGTGATACATTTATGTTCACCTATAGGTTCGGAGCTACAACGCGTGCATACTCCACCATCTCCAAAACCAAAAATAGGGGTTGTATCAAAACACAAATTAGGAAAGGGGGCTAAGACACCCCTCGCCAGCGTAGCATCACTTTCTAACATCTGTCCATTTTGAGAAGTTGAAGATTGAGAAAGTTTTTCCAATACAGGAGTGCTTGGAAGGGGGACATACTTCAGATTTGCACAGCGTACAATACCACGAACTTTCTTCATGGACTTTCCTTCGATCGCATCACGCTGAAATTCTAGTAGTCCAAAGTGATGTTTCACTACACCGTCAATTCTATTCACAGATACAATTTCGGGTGGCTTGGTTTGGTTGGACGCTAATTGACTGTCTGATAGACTTGTCATGGTAAGTTGTTGACTAGTCAAACTGCATGAAGAGCGTTAAAATCAGTATTTCGTGTATGACACACAACTTGGGCAATCGGAGTGCATTTATAAGCGATGTTGAGCAATATATGCAATGTTTGATGAACATATAGGAAATGTATTTAAAAAAACCCCCCTACATTCTTCGCGCGATTTTAGAGAGATATTTGCCGAAATATAAATACACATTTTTATAATGTATTACCGGATTTGAGATTTTCGGGCATTTGAATGGGGGTTTTCACGTACCTCTCGATCACTCCATATTATGCTGAAATAGAAGGCTATTTTAGAAGACTATGTACATAGTTTTATTTATTTAAAAAAAAATGTTCTCTCGTCGGTCGGCGGAGTAGATAAGTACCTGTTATTTATAGTGACCACCGAGGCACCGACCAGTTGTCCAAGTGCGACTGTTTTACTGTTTCCCACGCATTCCGACTATTTTCAAATTTGAATTTCACCGTGTCGCAGGTCGCAGTGACGGTTTGAATTGTGACTTGTGAGGCGTTGTGCTCCTTTCATCAGTGAACATTCATTATTAGTATTTGGTAACAATACAATTTGATTGCTCAAATATTTAAAAATAGAGCATATGTACTAATATAACCTTCTAAATTATACAAATAGAGTCATTTATATTTTGTAAAATAGCAAAAGCTTCCAAACTGAAATAAAAACTTAAAAAAATTGTTCATATCATAGCCTTCTAAATTATCTGGGTTGGTAAACGACATGTTTTAAACCTGTGACGACACGTCGCGACCGGCTTCTACTTCATTACAATGCCGACACATCTCGACAATCACGTCGCGACATGCCGTTTGGTCAGAAGACGACAAACACCGTTTTTTTAACAAAAAAACAATTGACTAATCACAATCACTTATACAAAATCCTTTAATGGTATAGTGTTGTCCAATGTCAAAACAACGAAATGTACCTTTTTTTTATTCTGCCTGGCGAAATCCGAATCGGATATGTACCTCAATTGTCTTTGAGTTTTCAATTTTGACTTTTGACAATTTACAACCGGCAACGTCAACCAGACAACCACCATCATCAATTAAATGGCATGATGTGTTATTATTATATTAACTTATTGTGGCCCGCCAAGCATCGGTTGGGAGCTGCTTGGCGGCCTTAGCCTGTTTACTAAACACAATGGCGCCTAAGAGGCTATGCTTTAAGAGGCTATGCTTAGGCGCCATTATGAAACTTTCTATTTTTTTTTACACTATTGTGTTATTTATGATTTGATCACCAACGGTCGCCACTCGCTCCACTGCCTGCAGTCAGCACTCAGCAGCCTACACGTGAGGTTATGGTGGTTAATACATATGTTTATATAACGTAGAACGTGCTGATCGGAGATAGTTCACATCAATCATCGATCGCAATAACAATCACAAGTACAACCATCGATGGCAACAATCAATCGCAACTGCAACCATCGATAGCATCAGCAACCATCGATCACAACCATCAATCACAACAGCAACCATCGATCACAACCATCAATCACAACTGCAACCATCAACTGCAGCCAACAATCGCAACTGCAACCATCGATCGCAACTGCAGCCATCGATCGCAACTACAACCATCGATCGCAACTGCAACCTTCGATTGCAACTGCAACCATCAATTGCAACCAACAATAGCAACTACAACCATCGATCGCAACAGCAACCACGAGATTCGATTCTACAACATCGGATGATATCAGCGACTATGAGATTCATTCCGAAATCGAGGCCGCTAGTGATGACGAGCCGGCTACTGCCGGCCTGAGTTATGGGAAGCCACCTACTGCCGATGATCTGAGTGATGAGGACCTTGCTACTGCCGATCTGATGAGTGATGAGGAGCCTGCTACTGCCAATCTAATGAGTGATGAAGAGCCTGCTACTGCCGATCTGATGAGTGATGAGGAGCCTGCTACTGCTATTGTCTATCTGAGTACCAGTGTGAAAAATAAAGCACATCCCACAGAGAGTACCCTACCATAGAGATTACCCCTGCTACGAAAAAGATTTAACAAACGATAGTGACATAGTGGCTGATGTAAGTGCTCATGTCGATGTCACTGTTATGACTGTAGATACTGTTCTAAAGGCTGTCAATAGTGATAAGAATGTATCCTCTGCGACTAAAGATCTAGAAAGAGTGCTCGATGCCAGAGAGCCTGTTACAGATGACGAATCAGTATCAAAAACATTAGGCGGGACTGTCGATTTGCCCGGCGTACCTTCAACTGTCGTACGTGTCAGTGACTGGGTGAACAAGATACATACTGACACCGATTCGAGTACCGCTGTTGGCAAAACAAACAGCTGTACAGACACAGATGATAACTTTCTCCGAAGACAGAAATCGCCGACAAAGAAACATAGTCTAACACAGTTTAAGAAGAGAAAGAGACCAATTATCACTAATCCTAAAACAAAATCCAGCAAGCGAGCAAAAATGATGGCCCAGGGTGTAAATATGACTTACCCTCGCACGAAACATAACGTTAACAATAACACGATATACACGGCTGAGGGCGGCACTACTAATATATTCAACAAACAATAGACAATAGCCCAATTATCAATATTTATATACGTGTATCTGTACATACGAATACAAACAAATATATAATTGATTATAGATTATATTGTATATATAATGTATGTATGTATATATAATGTATGTATGTATATATAATATATAGTTGATTATAGAATATGTATCCCATATATTTGATTATAGATTAAATTGCATATACAATATATGTATGTACATATAACATATAACTGATTATAGATTTATACATTATATATATAGTATATATATGTGTATATAATATATAATTGATTATAGATTTATACATTATATATATAACATATGTATGTGTGTATGATATATAATTGATTATATATTTTACAATCGATTATAGAATATATATATAATTTAATTGACTATAGATTTTAGATTATATATTGACTATATTATTGATTATAGATCTTTATTGTATTTGGGGTGTATATGGTCACAGCGTGCTACGTGTATTATTTCAGACTCTATAACAGTTGACACATATGCTGCTATATCACTGCCTTCTTTAGCTTCAAAATATATACAGCACATGCATGCATCGCACTTATTCATCGCCACTTGGATGTCGTGTTCATCGTGGTCGAATAGGCCCTTCGTCCACACCTTATTTTTGGCTGATAGTTTGTTGAATTCGTTGCCAAATCCTCCTTTACGGATCCAGTGGAAAGAAGTACACTCCTCTACAGTTTCGGGGAGGGTGCTAGCAACGGCTGATATTTTTATAAACACGATGTCATGCGGCTTGAATGGAACGATGCACCTTGTCAATATCTGTTCCAACAAACGGCAATTCAAGCGTCGCCAATCGAAGCGGGACTTCACTACAGGGGTATTCCCAGTTAGGTCGATCGTCAGCATACTTATTTGAATGAATTACTATCGCGAGTTTAAGCGTATACTAGGTCTATTTGTTGTTATTTATTTAACTTTGTTATTGTACAGTTGTGACTTGTGAGCTGGACAGCTGGTCAGTGTGAGAGTCTGAGAGACAGAGACTATAGAGTATAGTGAACGAGTATAGTGCCGAGTGCATGAGACTCTCCAGTCGCCCATGCCCAACGGTCACGGTACCAGTTGTGAGTTGTCAAATTTCAAAAACCTCGTATATAGTAGACTGGTATGGACACCTGTAGACGACTGAGGAGACGACATGTCGCCTAGAGGTAGGCCGACATAGTAGTAAACGACATGTCGTCTAGAGGTAGGCCGACATAGTAGTAAACGACATGTCACGACCGTCCCATCCTTTTTTTGGCGATACGTCGCGACCTCGTACTAACCCAGTAAATCATACAAGAAGGCTATGAACAGATGTACGTAGATTTGTAGATCTGAGAACTAACTTCAATGCGTTTTTAAAAAATACGTAGAAAATTAATATGTAATTAAGTATCAGCTAAAAACATTTACGTTTATACATATTCACATACGTTTATTCTAAGCGATTTACTTTATATAATACATATCACTGTTTTGTTTGTTTCCAAAAACAAAAATATGTTAGAAATAAATATAAAATTCGATTTACTCGAATATTTATCATACAATATTGGGTTTGTCAATAAAAAGAAAATATGTCACAGATGAAGCAAAAAATATAAATAGCGCACGAGTAAAGGAAACAAAAAAGTTGCATATTTTTTACTGTATTAGTGATATTACACAAGTTTTAAAAATTGTTTTTATTAAAAAATACCATTCCTAAATAAAAAGCACTCCCAACGCCCAAGTTACCGGCTCACCGACTCACTATCTCACCTTCTGGGCTACATAGTAGCTTTTTTTAAATGAAAACATTAAAATACTGATTTTTACTTAGCTTTTAGGCGTTGCCTGGTTCCACAAAAAGAGTGAACAAAATCTGCTTGTCGAATCTGTCCTACTTTTTCTCTTTCGGATTTGGCTCTTTTCTGTTGTCCCTAATTTTCTTCTTGGTGCGCTTGTTGCCTAATTTAATACCATGGGCGCGGCGATGCCTTCGTAGCATATACTTGGGGTTTCTGTGTATTGCTAATTTGTGTGTCATGCATTATTAAATTTCTTTGAACGCGACCATTTGCTTGATCACGCCTCGACTATGTGTTGGTCGCTTTTGTCTTCATATTGACTACGGCATGGTCTGCTCTTGGCTACGCTGTGGGTTGGACTTGGACACCATGGCAACGTCGAGACTATGCCATGGTCTTGTACTAGCTACGCCGTAGATCGGCTATGGCTACGTTGTGAGTTTTGTATAGCACGTAGTCTTCAAATACAAGGTGCGTATTCATTCATATTTAAAGTACTCATAAGTGCATACATACCAATTCATATAAGAAAGATTTACACATACAGACTAGTGATACATCTGCAAGGGAAATTTGAGTGGGGCACATATACAACCTTCTCCACGAATATATTTTGGCTCAGCTCTATTGTGTATAGTATTTTTTTTAAATATATACGTTGAAAGTTTCCATTCACCATCAAGCCATATCAGACGAGCTATCTGGATGTGTTTTGCGGTCTATAAAAAGCCTGCATTTCAGGCACAGTATACTCAAACATAAGCCTCCTAATTTTAGGAGGCCATGATGACACAAAGAAGAACTCGTACCTATTCCGGAAAGAGAAATTAGGAATAGTCATTCCTCCAACTGAAATTTTGAATTATTTGCAGTAGAATGGTTTTTTCGTTTTGGAACTGTCTTGCTCTACTAGTAAAGAGAGAGAGAAAGAGAGAAAGGGACAGAGAGATCTATGACTTTTTGTAGTGTTGTGTGATGTGTCGGCAACTCGGCGCACTCGACAGTCGAGACTCGTGAGTCAGTAAAATATTAATACATAGCGGTACTCGGCAGCGGTAAGCGGACTCCGGTGTTGGGATTTGGGAGTCTAGGATTCTGGGAATGACGGACGGACTGAGTGAAATAAAAAAGAATTAAACAAAAAAATAGACTCCCTCAACAGTAAACACTGTATAGAGACTTCAGTCACTTCAGAGTTCAGAGTTCAGACTTGTGTCCGTGGCCACTGAGTCACTGACCCTGACCATTTAGTGACCAGTCACCACTCACCAGAGGCCAGCGGCCCAGGGCCCCAGGCTCCAGGGCCCTAGGGGCAGCAGGGGGAAGCTCAAAGCTGGAAGTCCGGAAGGGGCAAAGTGTAAAGCGTAAACACGAAACCGTAAAACCATGTATTATTTTTGAAAAACATAAAAAAATAGCACTATACAAGTATACATATTTATTTTTAAAAAAGTACATGTTTTACTTTTCACTCAGGTCTCTTTGCAGTCTTGCTGTAAATACATTATTATAGAATGTCAGTTTTCAGTTTTGCAACATTCGTCAGTGTGGAGTCTGTGGACTGTTATGGACTGTGGACTGTGGACAGTGCGGACTGTGGACAATGCTATTACCTATTTAATATATATATATATATATTTTAAGTATTATTTCTATGTATTTAGTTAATAATTATTAACTAGATCTAGAGTATAAATAAATACTATTTATGTGGACAAAGTCGTACCAGGCACCAGGGACCAGCCTCACTATTTCCGTTATAATATATACAAATAAATATGGAACTTTTCCAAACTTGGTGTTTATTTATTACTAAAAACTTTAGCTAAATATTAGGTCCCTCAGAACTTTATCTATTCCAAATAAAGAATAAAGTGAAGCTTTTTATGCCCATTTGAGACCCTGTACATGAATATAGAAAGGCGCAATACAATAAACACTGTGTGAAATCATCAGTAGAAGAGATAAATACAATACGGTTATTGAAGGCTCCCCGCCCCCCAACAACAACAACAAGAACTTTTTTTGTTTTGAAATCTGGACCCAAACGTGAACCAAAATCGAAGTTGCAGTTTAACCACGGGGCGCGCTTTCGCAAAACAAATAAGGGTACAAAAACCCAAAAATAAAAATCATCATTTCACCCTCTTTTTAGGGCTTTTAGTTCCCAACCGATATTAGCGGTGTTTTATTTTACAACAATGAAGTATTTAGAATGAAATTATGAAAATAAATATTTTTATATTTTTTTGCATGACAGTAATTTGTTTTAAAAAAAAAGGTTATGCAAGAGTTGTTTTATGACTGTAAATATATATGTTTTTTTGTCGATTCAAGCTCTGAAAGTTTTATGAAGCGGTCAAACCGGATTTAATGTACCGGAGAGGGCCGTGCAAAACAAAACATTTTTTTTTTACATATGTAGCTCAAAATGATAAATCAAAAGGAGTCCGGTAAAATAGGTTGAACCACCGGAAGAATAATAATTCTACTATTCTACGAGGTAAATAAAGTTTTTATAAACAGACCAGGAAGGTCGTCTTAATCATCAATTCCCAAAACCGACAGCGATGATCTTTCCGATGATGCCGATTTGTTGAAACACAGAACTACTGATTGGAAATATCAAGATAGTCACAGACGAGAGGTCTGTCCCCAACTTTACATACGCCCTGGACATACTCAGGCTTTGTCGAACAACTTTATCAAACTACACATCATAGTCAATTACCTGGTTACCAGGTCTACTAAGTAATCTGTGAAGTGCATCAGCCGGATAAAAATCAAGGAAGTAATATTCGCCAAATGAGTACAGCAGCAAGAGATAACGGAACGTTACTTGATGCCCGGTCCATCAGTTAAGAAGAAATGAGATGATGTGGACTAGGGCACGGTGTACTTACATATGGCTAAATAGATAGAATTCGTTACAGCGGAATCGTTCGTAATGACCATTTGATTTTGTGTGAAAATTAATTGCATTTATGACCACATACACAAATTTGAATTTTCGGCCTCCTTTCGCGAGGTAGTAGGTTTTGATGCATAGAGATAGTCAGGATTAATTTGTTTCCATTGCTCAGATATAGATAGACTCAATCGGCCCAAGTGCTAAGAGACAATCAGAAGATATGCTCGAAGGTGCCGATAAACCTTCGTACAAAGCGGGGTGTCGGATATTAAACTATATTGAGTATATGTTAGTATGTAGAAGGTATAGCAGGCCCATATGACCATTTTTGCTGACCTCTCTAATAATTTTAGCGAACAGGTTGGGCTAGTCAGATAGCTAATAAATAGAGTACGTATCAGTGTCTAAAACGTATAGCGAGGATTAAACATAACAACCTCGACTGATCTCATACGCGTCACGAAGTAATAACTACTCGTACTTCGCTCATAAACGAGTAATAAAAACGCACACAATTTGTCATGTATGCGAGAATATCTCACTGGAAGTAGGCGGGATACCATCTTCCTTTTTGTCATACTGCGAATATCTTACGAGTAGACGGGATACCGACTTTCTCCGAAAGCGTGCTGAAGCCGCAGACAGGTTATCTACTGCCTTCATGGCGCAAAGCAAATTAGTGGCTACAGTCGTACTCATTTTAAGAGGACAAGCGCTTTTAACTTTGGAGCGGCTATCGTCATCCGCCATACGGGACGGACGCAGTGGTGGTGCTGAAACTTGTACGTGATCGCTTATCGACAGGGATGACTGACAAGACTAGGTCCACAGTAGTTTGACGATGATAATAAAGTGTCGCACGTACAGTTGTTGTCGCTGCTTTAAGTTTTGTCCGCAGTAGTTTGACGATGCTAATAAAGTGTCGCATGTACAGTTGTTGTCACTACTTCAAGTTTTGTCCACAGACTCAAGTCCGGTCTGTTCAGTGCGCTTCCATTCGCCCGCATATGACACTTCTAATCGAGTATATGCAAACAGGCATAGATGCAATTTATAGTTATGCAAGTGCCAACCCGCCATTGAGTGAGCTACAACTTACTACGAAAGAACCATTTTCTCAGTTATTCTTGATTACAATTATATACTACTATGTTTTAGGCGGTATGCGATGTGTCCCCCGCACCGACGCACTCGGTACGCGTTCCCCCGCTAGCAGTCTTGTCAATACTCCATTCTGCCACTCCTTAACTCTCACGAGCCACTCATTCAGCTCCGCTCCTGTGTGCTGCACAGGTTTCCCATCTGGGTCTACAGTCGGGTTGCTGTGGGTGGTCAGGCTTGAAGCAGGAGGAGGCGGTGGCGGGGGCGGGGGTACATTGACACTCACTACAGCTGCGCTGTTTGTCAACGTTTCCGCGCGTGGCTTTATCCGCGGAGGACAGGCATCCGTTGCGGCAGCCTGTGTCGGTTGATGCCCGTGGTCACATGCACGTTCATATCTGATATCATACTCGCGTATGTCGGCGCGCACAACATGTGTTAAAGCTTTGTTGCTGTCGCGATAGTGTTCGTCAGCCCTCGTGAGCTGTTTAGAATGATAGGGTCTGTTCCCATGCGTTGTACAAGGCTGTGGTTCGGGCCCGTCGGCCTTGTGCGATACATCACACAACTCCGCATTCCCTTTCCTTTCTCTGCCATATACTACACCGCTATTGAGGTTTGCATTCGCACTGGACTTCACCTCAGAAGGACGTAGGCAGTTTTTCGTGCACCCTTTTGCGGACAATGCCTGCTTGCCATGCGAGTCCTCTAGTGCATGTTGCAGCACCATCTGTTGTGTTCTGTGAGCGTTGTCACGGTGTTTGCCATACCTGTGCGCGTCTATAGTTTCCTTTGGGGTCTGCTCGTAGTCAGAGTTCATACGACCGTGTGTATTCGCAGCCATGCGGTGACTAGCCTCTACCTGCCGCGGCATGTGCCGTCTATGGTTTGGGTTTGTCCCTACACACTCATCAGCCACTCTCCCATGAGTGCGTGGCCTACTAAACTGACACTGTTTCGATGCCAATGAACGGATACCAGTCCTCTGATCAGGTACTTTTCGCCTATCCTCCCCGTATGTCTGTTCGGGAAGTCTCTCCACCTTGACTGCCGACTCCGCTACTCGGTTCGGATTCACTGCCTTGATGTGACCTGTTATGCCCGTAGTGTGCAATACATCACCGCCTGTCTCATTATGGCGTGGATCTTTCCGCCCCACATCAGCGCGCATCTCTACCTCAGACTCACAGATGTCCAGGTTTTTAGGACCGGTACGCTGCGCTTTGTGGTCTACCTGAGACCCGTAGCCACGGGAGTGGGTGGGCTGTCGTCGCACCTTGACCTCAGATTCGGTCACACCCTTCACACCAGGCGCGCTGCCACTGTGTACTGTGTGTCTAATCCCTGGTGCACGGTGGTCTGCACGAGTAGGTTTCCTTGCCCCCTTGGTGACCGCTATATCCGGTTGGTCCAGCCCACACGCCTGGTGTACTACCGGGTGCCTGTTGCTTAGCAACCGTTGATATGTGGGGCTCGATTGGGGTCGGAGGTGGGGTGATGCGTGCGGAGTCGAGGAGATGACCAGGCCGATCCGACTAGCCTGGCTTGATGCTTCTGCACACGCCACAAAAAGAAGACGAATAATATCAGCATATCAGGACGAGTTATATAGAGTACGAGAGAACGAATGAAACAACACGGTCAACGGAATATCGTATACCGTGACATCACCGGAGTCAGCTGGAGTGCATGCGATGTCACGTGGGCTGCGCCATATTTATATAAACATGAAAAAGAATATCTAATCTTCGCATACCATGGAAGTAGGCCTCGAAGTCCACCACAGAGTCTTCACACATGCGATGTTCCACAGCACTGTGCTTCAGCTGCGGTAGTACAGGTCGCGAAGTGGCACCAGGCCCTCTGTGATAAGAATACAGGACCAGATCCGATTATCCACTAGCAGCATACGTAGACCATATCAAACATACAGATATCAAGGGATGCGGTAGCACACCAGGGAAGTGCAAACCCCGCATATCACCACTAAAATGAACCCAAAAAGTTGAATACGTGCTCGTGGTAGTATATTGGATTGTATAAACCACACAGAGAGACCCAGAAACACATTAG